ACTATATATATATAAAATGTGGAATACTATATATATATATGTAATGGAAAAATTTATATACACACACATATATATCTCACACATTTTGTAAATATATTCATCTGTTAATGGTCATCTAGATTGATTCCATTTCAGCTGTTGTGAGTTGAACTGCTGTAAACATGGATGCACAAGTATCTCAATCAAATGCTTCCATTTCATTTGAATATGAATAAATTCCCAGAGTGAGATGACTGGGTCATACTATAGATATGATTTTCAGGTCTCTGAGGGATCTGAGTATATTTTATATTTACACCAATAGTGGATAATACCTTTTCTCCCATGTCCTTATCAGTATTTATTGTTTCCTGATTTTTGAATGATAACCATTATAATTGAGTTCAAGTAAAACCTCACTATGGATATTATTGGCATTTACCAGATAATTACTGATTCTGAGCATTTTTTTTTGTTTTAAAGATTTATTTTTATTATTTTTTTATTGCAAAGGCGGATATACAGAGAGGAGAGACAGAGAGGAAGATCTTCCGTCCAATGATTCACTCCCCAAGTGAGCACAATGGCCGATACTATGTCGATCCGAAGCCAGGAGCCACTTCCGGGTCTCCCACGCGGGTGCAGGGTCCCAAAGCTTTGGGCAGTCCTCGACTGCTTTCCCAGGCCACAGGCAGGGAGCTGGAAGGGAAGCGGGGCTGCCGGGATTAGAACTGGCACCCATATGGGATCCCGGGCGTGCAAGGCGAGGACCTTTAACCACTTGCGCCACCGCGCCGGGCCCGATTCTGAGCATTTTTTATGTGTTTGTACGTCATTGTTATTTTATCCTTTGAAAAATGCATATTCCTGTCCTTTGCCCATTTTTTAAATATAAATTTTATTTTTGATGAAGTTTACATAGTTGACCAGGGTGGGAAGCTTTGAGCACTAGGTGAAAGTGGGTGAAACTATTGTTTCCAAAATTTCCCTTTTTTCTTCCTGTATCTGGGAGAAGAAGGAAGACAGGGAGGGAAGCTGCACCCAGACTCCCAGCAGAAACTAGGAATTGGGAATGGCCAACTGATATCATGCCATGGTCCCCGATATGGAGCATGGGTTCTGCCCCAGATGGTTTCATTAGTTCTGAAATGCTGTCCATCTTGCTGCTCCAAGGATGAGGAAATTCTTCCAAAGTCCATTGGCTGCTATAGTCTACTTTAGAGTCTCCATTTGCCCGGATATTTGCGCCAACATTTGGCTGGGGTAGTTGACCCATTTGTTCTGTCCTCCTTTCTCTGTACTGCTACCACATGTCCTCTGCGGGTCCCCATGGGCTACCATATCCTCCATGTACATTTGGGCCTGACATCCTCTACTCCGTCTTTTCCACTGAGGAGGCTCAGTTCTTATGCACGTACTCCACAGTTAGAACACAGATCCTATGATTCTCCCCATGGTTGGAGTGCTGAGTCCAGAGGTTCGGTTGGGCTGATCCCCAAAGAAATGTTTCCTGAAGTGATCCTAGACCTGATTCATGTGTGTGTGCTTGTCACTATGGGGTCTGGCTCAGTTCATCACCCACGACAGCCTATATCACATTGGTAGCTGCAATTGCTGGATCAGTTTTATCTGCAGCCCCATCTCTTATGTAAATCACTGCTGCAACCCAGCCTAACTCTGCCCACCACACACTCAGCCCTCAGGTACACCAGTGGGAATTAGAACCTAATTGGAGCATTCCCCAATAACCCCCAACACACCTGCCCCATCCCTGGTTCCTGTGCTTGCCAATATGTGCAGCAGACTGCTACAGTCTGTCCCACTTCCCATTTAGCTCTCATACATGTCAACGGGCATTGAAGCCTGATTCAATACATCTGACCCCACTGTCCAGTCCATGATCATGCTTGTGGGTGCCACCTCATGTCTAGCCAATCCTGTCCTCAGCCCTGGTTCTCATGCTCATTAATGGGAGTTGCAGCCCATCAGAAAGGTGCCCTACTGGGCCCTCTCTTAGTCCCGAATCTTGCACTCTGCAAGTAATTCTGTGGTATAACTTGACAGGACTTGCTCCCTGCCCCAGCACTTGCCAGCTGATGCTGTGGCAAAGTCCAATCAACCTCCCATTACTCTGGCTCATACCTTCACCAGTGGATCTAGTCAGCTAGCCCAGCCTGACTCTCCCCCTACTCCTGTTCACATGTAGGCCAACAGGTATTGTAGTCTTGCCAAGTCTTGTCAGCCCCTGGTTACAGTATTCACTTATACTCACCAGTAGGAGCAGTTCTTGCCCATTTTTTTTTAAGATTTATGTATTTTTATTGCAACGTCAGATATATATGGAGGAGGAGATACAAAGAGAAAGATTTTCTGTCCAATGATTCACTCCCCAAGTGAGTGCAACGGCTGGTACTGTGACAATCTGAAGCCAGGAGCCAGGAGCTTTTCCAGGTCTTCCACATAGGTGCAGGGTCCCAAGGCTTTGGGCTGTCCTCGACTGCTTTCCCAGGTCACAAGCAGGGAGCTGGATGGGAAGTGGGGCCGCTGGGATTAGAACCGACACCCATATGGGATCTGGGCGTGCAAGGCAAGGTGAGGACCTTAACCACCACTGTGCCAGGCCCTTTGCCCATTTCTTAATGAGGTTTTTTGTTTTGGGATTGTTGAGTTTCTTACATTCTTTATAGATCCTGAATATTATTCATTTATAATTTGCATGTTTTGTAAATATGTTCTCCCATTCTGTCAGTAGCCTTTCCATTTTATTGCAGTTTCTTAACCTGATGTAATCCATTTGTTTTTTTTGCTTTTATTGCCTGTGCTCTATGGCCTTCCCTGTAATTCTCTGCCTGTACCTGTGTCTTGAAGTGTTTCTCTGATTTTTTGCTAAGAATTTTATGGTGTCTAGTCATAAATTTAGATCCTTGAATCATCTAAAGTTGATTTTCATGTAAAAGAATCTTGTTGTATGCTTCTAGATGTGTAGATCTGATTTTCATAGCACCGTTCTTTGAGGCGATTGTCCTTGTTCTCTGGATTGATCTCCATCCACTTCTCAGTGTTTGTTGGCTGCAGATTTTGTGTTCATTTCTGATATTTCCATTCTGTTCCATTAATTTTCTTTTATGTGCAAATATCAAACTGTTTTGATTACATCTGTCCTGTAATATATCTTGAAGTCTGTTATTCTAATGCCTTGAACTTTGTTTCGATTGTTTAAGAATGCTTTAGCTATTCAAAATGTCTTATGATCCATATTAATTTTAGCATCATTTTTCTAGTTCTGAGAAGAATGTCATGTATTTTATTTGGCATTGCACTGAATCAGTAAATTGGCTTCAATAATATGAATTTTTATGACAATTCTGTAGTCTACAAACATGAATTTTTTTAGTTTTTGATATCTTACTTCTTTAATATTTTGTAATTTTATCATAAATATCTCCCCTTACCCTGTTGTTTTGCATGCTGCATTTTCATTGGATGGTAATATACTTTTATTGTTCACTTTAAACAATGTTCTAATTTCTATTTCTTTTTTCTTAAGTGTTTTTCAGAAATACAGTACTTGATTTCTAAATGTTTATGGGCTGTCTAGTTATGCCCCTATTAGGAATCTCCAGTTAAATTCTGTGTTTAAGCTTATATTTGGTGTAATCAGTTCTTCATAATTTTGCATGGTTGGTCTTACACCCCTGCATATGAGCTATTTTTCTACTTTCATGTACCTTTAAATACTTATGGGTTCTATATTTCTGAGTGGTGAAAATTTAGGGTTTTTTTTTTTAAGATTTATTTATTTTTATTGAAAAGTCAGATTTACAGAGAAGGAGAGGCAGAAAAATCTCCTATCTGCAGCTTCCTTCCCCATGTGGCTGTATTGACCAGAGCTGAACTGACCCAAAAACAGGAGCCAGTAGCTTCTTGCAGGTCCCCCATACAATTACAGGGTCCCAGGGCTTTTGGCATCCTGAACTGCTTTCCCAGTCCACAAATAGGGAGCTGGATGGCTAACTATTTTCCAAATACAAATAGGACAATTTGTTCCTCTCTTTAATAGTTTCTACCATATGGCTTTGTAAACTAATTATTTATACATTTCTTTCTCTTAATGCAAAGCTCAAAAAACCATACTATATTAATCTTTATATGTTTATATTTTATTATATTTTATGTTTATATTTTATTCAAAATAACTATTGACATATCAGGTATCCAACGGATATTTGTTAGTAAATATTAATATATTTTTCATAATGATTTAAAAATAAATTACCGGTACACTATGAAATTACCCCCTTAAATAGGACATAACACACAAATAAATGTCATAAATGTGAATTCTCCAACATGGTTGAAATCCATTCACTCTACCCTACAATAGACAGAGGGAGTGAGATCTTAAAAATGTTGCCCAATTTTTCTCCTCTCATTCCCTTCCAAAAAAAAAAAAAGTGCCAGTTACGCTGATCACTGATGAAAGCTACGTCACTGCATCTACAGAAAGAGCTGTGTTTAATCATAGTCTTATTCCTCAAGTTTGCAGCTACATAACAGCTTTACGCTAAATTATAGAAAACGCATGAAGAAATTAATTGGCTTTAATGCATATTCTGTATATCCTTTTTCTATGCTTTCTGGTTTGTATGTTCAAATTGACTTGCTCATTAAAGTTATCTTTTTGATATAATAATATGTCATTTTTTCATAACGCCATAAACTTAACTTAAAAAATGAAAAGACTGACATGATAAAGAACTTTTCTGTAATTGTATGTTGAAAACCTGCACAGACATACAATAAATCTTACTAATTAGTAAGAATGCAGTTATACTAAATCAACCAAAGATGCACAACTTCCTTTTCCATATGTCTTTGTATCATGCTATGTGTGTGGTTGACACTCAGTAAATGTGTTCATTAAACCACCAAATAATGGGTTAGGCATCTTTCCATTAATCACAGACTGTAACAAGTACTTGAATACAAATGATTTCTTTATGTTTTGGTTTCATTCACAGTAAACAAGTCCGAGCAATGTTAGGGCAGTTCAGCCAAGCAGAAGATTTATTAATGAAAGCTGGAGTGCAGCCAGGGACTTTCGATGGAGTTCTTTTGGATCTTGGGTGTTCCTCCATGCAACTTGATGCTCCTGAACGAGGTTTTTCCATTCGGAAGGATGGCCCCTTGGACATGAGAATGGATGGTGGCAGGTGAGTATTGGTGAAGCATTTCTGCTCACGGTAAGAAATTAATTTCTAAAGATAGGAACTCTGAATTCAATTCCTTCTTTTAAGCTGCAGAACTCCCATCACCTGCCTTCATGTAATAGAACCCATACATAAAACATTAGGTTTGTTTGCTACTAATGTTACTTTAGCATTTCTTTGGATTTGGAATTCTTAAAGAAATAATTACTGTCTTTAATTGAAACAATAAAATAAATTTCACATTGGTTATCATTTTCACTGATACAGTATGGCATTTAGACTACTGGCAATATTGATAAATACATTGATAATGAAACAATGGATCCATCTTTATGCATACACAATGGGGTCTCTTGTGAGTAGCAGAATGGATTATGCAAAAGTATTCTTGGAGAATACTGCAAAGAAAGGCAGTATTCTAGAGGTCAGTAATGTATGATTTGTTTGGTCTCTCGAACAAGCACTTCAGCTGCATCTCTCCAAAGAAACTGGAAATTTATGCTATTATATTAAGCCTAGTACTATACATAGGATATATTTTACACCTCCTCTTCATTCCTCACCATGCTGGAAATAAATAAACTTTGTCCTTTGTTATTCAAGTAGGTCTATACATGTTACCTTACATATTAAAAATTTTACATTCAGGGAAATAGATCAAAAGTGCCTTTTTTATGTAACATAAATTTAAAGCACCTGTGTCTGTGCTCACCAGTGGCACTGAACAGGGATTGGCCAACTTTGTTTTTAAAGCTTACTCTTCCTTTTAGGAAATGTGTCCCATAAAAAAATGACTTTGTTGTAATAATTATTCACATATCCCTTTTCCTAGTGTTGTGTCATGACATGTTAACTTCAATTGTCTGTTATTTTGCTGGAACTTTATTGTTGTTTAAACTCATACTTTTTCTACATATTTTTGTCATTCATAGAATGAGTAATGGTATAAAAGAAATACAATAAAAAATTTTTAAAGACTCAGGGACTGATAAATAGTAAAGGGCAAATTTGTTCTTGTATTTGGAAATAGAGATCCTTTACCAGGGGTAATAAATTATTACGAAAATATCTTTTCTTCATGTCTTAAATAAGATACCCTCTGAAATAGAATTACCTAAGAATGTCACGAGTAGTAAATCCTCTTATTGTTAATGTAGAGATTTACAAGTAAATTTTAGTTTGAGATACTACTCAAGATCTTGACAAGATTATTGCTTCCAGTAATTAATCTGTAACTTATACATAATGGATACTTTCAGAGTTAAGAAAATGTATCTTTAAGTGAGTTTCAGGGATGACATAAACTGTAACCTACTGAAAGATATTAACAGATTGAAATAAAGTATATGGCATTCAGAAAGAGGATTAGAATTATGTTAATTACATAGTAAAATCAGAACTGCAAATATGTGCGGTAGTTAAGCCAAGTTGTAGTACAAGATGAGATAGTCCTAACATCAACCCCCAAATGTGTGTGTGGATATCCATTTATTAATTAAATGTATTTCTGCTTCTTTCAACAATTCTTTGAAGTTAAAATGTTACCTTCAACAGATGATAGATATATGACTGCTTATGAAGGACCATACTATCCTAATAATATGGAGAAAATCAGTCAGAGGTTGGTAATTTGGAGGGGGATAGGGAAATCCCAGGCCCTATGTAACTGTACCATAAAATTGAAAATAATAATAATTAATGTTACATTCATTACACAGATTTTTTAAAAATGAGACTCCAATAGTTAAAATCTTAATTAGGAAAGCCAAAATTCTAATCTAAATTGATCTGACTAAAGATCATGTCTTAAGCGTGAAAACTGAAAAAGCAAAGCCCAATAACATGCAAAGATGGCTCAGCTTACCATTTAAGATGCTTGTTTATATAAAGTAACCAAAATAGACAAAAAAGTAATCTTAAGATCTGAATAACAATGTTGACAAGAGACAGATGGAGAGAAAGAGAAATGATGAAAAGGAAAGTACATGGTAGAACAAGGGACAGAGTGAAAATAATAAGATTTTCTCCTGGAGTTATAGGTGTATTAACAAGATATAGTTCAGCATTTTCAGCAGGTACTCAGATTTTCTATACAGCTCCTCTCTAGTTTGAGCCTCAGGTCTTAAAACTACCACATTTTTATTAAAGTCCTCCAATGTGGCCCCTACAATTAATAGAGTATATTTAACATATGAGTAGTAACTATCATTAACAAATTGTTTCCTAGCATGTAAAGTAAATGTTAACATATCAGACTTCTTTGGAGTATTTCCCTAAAATAATATATAATTATCTTTTCTGCTATCATAGTTTATTCTCTTTGGGCAAAAGTCTGGAAGATATTTGTTTTTTAGCAACTGAAATTATTATCCAGGTTTGTTTCATATTGTTTCATATTGTTTGTGAATTATCGGTTTTTACCCTATATTAGGCATAAGTGGGTATACCAGTGTTGTTAAGCATTGGACATAGTATGCATTACTGCCGGTAATGTTCTTGTTTTTGAGAGGGAACCTGACCTGTTGTATCTGTGTAGACAAAGTTCTCTTTGTGTCTACACAGAGTTGATTACTTGTCTCAGATTTAGTTAAGTTCTGGAGATCTTAAGTTAATTCAAATTTCATCAGTAAGCTTCATATCTTCCATTCCAAAAATAAAAAGATGAAACTAATTTAAACTTCAGCAACTTAAATGTCAACATTTTTCAGTGTTTTAGCTGTGAGAAAATGTATAGGATCAATAATGGTAACTTTTTTAGATTAAAGATAGTGAAATAACTTCCTGGTGCTTTGAACTTTATGAATTATAAATAGTCACCACTTGCCATCATAATGGTGGTTATTTGAAATGAAAAATCTGTTTCATTCATAAAAGACTTCAGTATCTGAGTTTAAAATCTCTGAATTTCTCTTAGATTGTGTGTGTTTCCAACTTTAGTTCTCAGCACCCTGCCGTTTCACCTCTTGTCAATGAAAACTGGCGTCAGTGGACTAATTGACTGTTGTTGTGTGTAGGTACCCTGACATGCCCACCGCTGCTGATGTTGTGAATGCTTTAGATCAGCCGGCACTTGCATCCATCCTCAGGACATATGGGGAAGAAAAGCATGCCAAGAAAATTGCTTCAGCAATTGTTCTGGCACGTACTGTCTGTCCCATCACCAGAACCCAGCAGCTTGCCAGCATCATTGCAGGTACTCTTATTAATTTGAAACAATGTCTTAGAGAATAAGAAAGAAAAAAAAATATGTGTACACACACACACACACTCTCTCTCTCACACACTCACTCACTCACACACATTAACCCCCAAATACCTAAGGCATTCATTAGTACTTGAAATCATATAAGGTAGAATTGTGTCTGTCATTTATCAGTTTTGTATGCTTTCTCTGTCCAACACCTCTTCTCTACATACACACAGTTTGGGAAAAATATACCTTAGTTTACCAATTAAGATAATAAAGAAGTTTTTAATGTGAGGTACTTTATCATTTTTGCCCAGCAAAGTAAAACATTGTCTAGAGCAAAGAAATCGCCTGATCTAACTCAGAGCATGACAAGCATCCTGTATAAGGTTTGACATTACTTTTCTTACTTTCACCTTTCTGCATTTTAATATTTTGGGCAAAAGGAGAATTGCATTGCCCAACTGCTAAAATAAAATCCAGTGACTCATATGTCTATTCTAAACAACCAGCTAACAAAGGATGTATGATGTATAGGTTATTCCACTTTGTGAATGCTAACTAAATCAGCCAGAGGGACTTATTGAAACATTTCATCTTTTCTGCTGTTTGCCACCATAAACCTCTTGAACCTAAGTCTAGCCAGGAGATGCTTTATTATAGCCTTTCGTTTTGAAGCCTGAGTTGTTTCACAGCTGCATTTCATGATGAAAAATCTTCAAGGTAAGAATGCAACTCGTGCAGTTATTTGATGGAATTCCATCGTTAAGTCCTGCATCTGGCTGGACCATTTGAAATCCTATATCATTTTTGTTTGCCAAATGTGTTAAGATTCTTTTCAGTGATTCCTATTAAGTTACATAAATAATCATAAACGGAAAAATAAAGGATATCTGAGTAGCTTATTGAACGAAACTGCTATTGGCTGCTTCTATGTATTATTCATAGATCAAGCAATAAAAATTATAAATTCAGGTCATTACAATTTAGAGGTTATATTGTACTTGTATATGACATACTTAAGTAAGGTTAGATTCTACAATGTTAGGCTGATAATACATAATAATTGAGTAAATTTTCAATTTTTTAGCCTGTATACCTCAGGGCTTTCCCAAGGAATTTAGATTCCTTTCTGCAAGTGAGAATAAAACTCCTCTTAGCTATGTGAATATAAAATATTTCATGATGTTTTGTTTTCTCAAAAAAAAAAGTTTATAGTAGCATGCTGACATTAAATGCATCCTGTCTTTTATCCTTTTTTCTTCCCTCTCTATATTTATTAGAATGACTCTACCATATCCTTTCTGTCATTTTTACCTCAATATTTTTTTCTGTCCTCCATATTGGAAATAAAGGCAGTAAGAAGTCACAGTTTCTATTCGTAAGAAAATCTAAAAATTTCTGATGCTGAAAGTTTGGAAATAGAGAACATACTGAAAAATTGGAGGGGAAAAAAAAAAACGAAAACTCCCACCTTATACCTAACAAACATGAGGCTTGCTCAAGGTTATGAACTAATATTTATTGACAGTACTAATCTGGAATAGTATAATTTGGAAGCTTATGAATTTGATTCATAGCTGGGAATCTGCCTTTAAAAAATCAAGTTGGGCCCAGCATGGTGGTCTAACGGTTGAAGTCCTCACCTTGAATGCACCTAGGATCCCATATGGGTGCTGGCTCTAATCCCAGCAGCCTCTCTTCCCATCCAGATCCCTGCTTGTGGCCTGGGAAAGCAATCAAAGATGGCCAAAAGCCTTGGGACCCTGCACCTGTGTGGGAAACTCTGAAGAGGTTCCTGGCTCTTGGGTCCTGGCCATGGATAAGCACAGCTCTGGCCCTTGTGGTCACTTGGAGAGTGAATCATCAGACGGAGGATCCCTTCTCTGTCTCTCCTCCTCTCTGTAAACAAATCTTTAACTTGGATCTATTCAGGAATTGCAGAGAAATGCGTTTTCACAGAAATCAAGATGTTATTTTTGTATACTATATCACTTAGACAACTGTGTTTCATTTGCTGTAATCAGTTTTTAAAAGTCAGATGGAAAAAGCAACTGAAGTCCTAGAAAATAGAAATGTAATTTTAAACTATTCCAATAAAGCTGGAGGAGGAAGGGGAGTTTGACTAAAAAAAAAAAACCAAGTTAACTTTCTTCCCATGACCTTACTGTAAACCTAGGGAAATAACATTGTTGGCGTTCGATAGAAATTATATGGAGCAGTTTAAGTATTTTCACAAGAATTGTGATTTAAAAATCACATTAGGGCTGTGACAAGTTATATGATCTTTGAGAATATTTCTATCTATTGGTAAGTAAGCTTTATTTTATTAAACTTTTAACACATTAACTTCTGTATAATGAGTCCATTTCCCTCTCTAATATTTCCTGATAATGACAAAATTCATTGATGATGATAGGTTTTTCTTGGAAAAGAGGAAGTAGAAAAAATATTTTGTGGTCAGTAATGGCATTTTTAGGATAGACTACAGAGTACCAAGCACTGTATTAAGCACAAAAACATTGAAAATGAATCCGGCATATCCCCTGTGTTTACAAAGCTTACAGATTAATAGATTATGTAGTGAAATTAGTGAATTAAAATTAAAATGAATCACACTATAAGCCTTTAGTGAAAACCTAATTGAATAAAATTATGATTATGTAGTTAGTAGAAAATCTGACAGAAGCAGAGAATTATAAAACCTATACATCCACATATGACAATTATCAGTTATTTTTATTTGGCAAATTTAGTAATTATCTTTTGTTTGTCAATTTTTAAATTAACTTGCCATCTCATGGTTCTTGTCAAAAGCAAAATATATCGGTCACTTTTCAGATCATTGAGATTTACGTGAAAAATTTTAGTACAAGTCATCGATTCACTGACAGTTAAGAAGTGATAGAAATTTCATAGTATTATTAGTATGTAAATATAAATGAGAGATATTTTATAAGTACTTGGGATTCATGTTGATTAAATGTGTAGGCCTATTTCCTAACTGGATGCTTTCTGCCTTTATTCTGACTTATGAACTAGGTACATGAATAGAGCTTAATGAATGTTTGTTGAACAAATAATTCAATAAAATAGTATACATTCTCAGCAGAAGTAAAATGAAAATTCAAGGAAAAAAGTCTAAGTTGTTAAGTATTACTCAAAATCAATTGTCCTCTGCCCTTCACATTGAAAGATATAGAATCTAAGCATCGTAGTTTTCTGTGTAAAGTGTCTTGAGGGCTGGGTTAGATTCCCTGGACTTTATGCTAGGTATATGCTTGCAACGAAGGAATCTCAACTGAACTTGAACTGTGGTTATGCAGCAAGGTGGAGGAATCCACCATGGGGGGAGGTTTGTGGGAGGGGTGGGGGAATCCCAGTGCCTATAAAACTGTATCACATAATTTTTTAAAAAAAGTGGAAAAAAAAAGAATAGAGCCCAGAACAGGTTAAAAACCCTTAAATATGTGACCAAGTGAATAAAAGACTTTGTCTCTTCCTATCAAAAAAAAAAAAAAAAAGATTCCCTGGACAATGGAATTGAAAGCATACAAGTTCTGTTTCAGATTGTGTTGTGTTTTTGCTCCTTGAACTTAAGTATATCATGTCGATGATGTCATTTCCTCATCTTGAAAATGAAATAATCAGTTATTGCTGTGATCAAAAAAAGAATGGTCTGAATGATATAAAGAATATTCACTGTGAAATTTGAAGTGCAAGTATACTTGAAAGCATTTTTTGTCCTCTATCCAGAACTGTAATCCAGAGAGCAAATACATACATAAGTTAGGACTCTTAGTTCTTTCATTTTCACTTCCACAGCTCTGTGGCTAAATATTATTTCTGATGAACTGAACACTTCATTCGAAGCTGTTCTTCTGTTACTTGACTTTCAGGGATGAGAATATTTTTTTTTAATTACAGCATACTTGTATATCTTTTAACAAAAACATGTTTACCTATGAAATGTTGTTATTCTTAAAAATTATATAACAGATTGAACTCAAGAAATGGAACATTATTTAGAATAATGGCTCATGCCTCATGTTGTTCCCCAAATGATTGTTATTTTCTAGCAAAGTTTTATTAATCTTCCATAATATAATAAAGCAATCATTAAAAACTTGTCACTATCATTGAATTTTAGTGGAAAAATACTTTTCCTAATGAAATTTCTCAAACAATTCTTTCCTTGTGTTATTATTTGGCAATCTACATTTTGTGTCCTCCATATTTCCTGCAAAACACTCTGTATACTAACATTTCTATTATGAATAAAATAAAAATAAAAGCTTGTTAACATGCTAAATTATCACTTTCATGGAAAATTGTATGATCCAAGCTATAGTCAGCTTTGACAGCAGAGTGTCGTCATCGCCCATGCTACTGCCTGGGGTTGTGCAGTTATTAGCTCTTGTGTCATTTCACTCAAGTTCAGGTTATTGTATACTATGTGTGCTAATTTAACTTCGTACCAATTATCAAATGACATTTTGTAAGTAAACTTATTTTCATAAGAGTCCTTCTAACGGACATGCTATACAAGAAGTTCAACTCGGAATAAAATGAAATGTTTCAAAAACCTGAAATATTCTTTCTAAGAAAAAAAAAACCTGACTATTCTCATTTTGTAGTACCAACCAAGTGACTATTTCTAGCCTTATTGAGTTATTTAAAAGTGATAAATAATGTTAGCTAACACCTGCTATGAACAAGTAATAGCATATACCCAAAATTACTTTCATATGTTAATTCACTTTGTAAGTATCCAGAAGGCAGCTACTATATTTTTTATTTTAAACTTATTTTATCTAGTTATCCTTTAATAGGCAACTGCATTGATTCCATATCTTAGCTATTGTGACTTGAGCTGCAGTATATGTGGGTATACAAAATATCATATACTGATTTTATTTTGTTTGGGAAAGTTCCCAGAAGTGAGATGGCTGGTTCACATAGTAGATATGTTTAATACCCGTTCAGTAGATGAGGAGGCTGAACCA